ATACTTTCAATTATCTTCAACCTTGACGTTGGCGAAATCATCGAAATAACGATGGGGTCCACTAAACATTAAAAGAAGAAGAAGAAGAAGATGCGCGCGTTCCTGACGGGAGCGCTAGTTCTGTGTTAAATATCGCTATTTACAATTATATTTTTGTTTAAAAATAAGAATAATAATAGCATTATGCAGCTCGTCCACCAAACTCAAGTTCTCTTCCCATCCTTTTGTTAAGGAAATGGTGGAAAGGAAAAGAGACTCGGAAATACTTCCACGCCTGTCTACTGCGTGGGGTGAACTCGGACGTTAATCTTTGGAACGTCACGAGGGCGACTAAAAAAATTACGTAGTCTGTCGCAACGATCGTGAGTGACGAGGCGAGATGCGCCTGACTTTGTATTTTATATGAATTTTGCCTTACAATAAATTCATACTATATATTCTACAGCGTATTTACCACTAGTCATGAGCTGAAAACGTGTACGCCGTATGAATTTTGATAAAAAATTTGAATAAAAAATGCGGGCACAGATATGTGACAAGACGGTCTAAGAGGGGTGCACAGATCTGTGTCAAAACGTTCGAAAGGTTAAAGCGGACTCTACCACTGTAAAAACAGCGTTGCCATGGTAACCACTTGAAAATAAGTGCGGAATAGAGTTAAACTTAGAAATAAACTAAGTATAAGCAAAACTTATAGTAATATACTACCTTTATTTGTAAGGCTGCATGTGATCTATACAATTCAAATATGACAATGAACCACCATTCACTATAATAGCGAATGCATTAACCTGTAGACCGAATTAGCAACACAAGACACACAAAAAAGGCATATTTTCCCTTCCTTTATACAAAACAAACTTTATATAAAGACTGAAATTTAGTATAACACACTTTATGACATACCTTGACACACTGTAACGTCTTCCTGTCCCATATCTTGATGGTATTATCTCTGAGTCCGGAGACAATCTTGTTATCATCATATTGTAAGCAGTAAACGCCTTTTGAATTCTCTGAACGACAGTTTATCCTCTGAAAATAAATAACATTGAAATTTACTAACTTTTGCCTGCGTATCTCTCTGCGTAGAATTAAAAAAACAAAAACAAAAGTGAGTAGACAATGTGTTCCAGAATATCCTCCACATCTATTTTAAAAACTAGTTCAAAAAAACCTTAAAACAAGAAATATAACACAACTAGCTTTCGCCCGCGTCTCCGTCGGCGTGGAGTTAAAAAAACAAAAGTGAGTAACCTATGTGTTCTTCCAGACTATCCTCTACATCTATACATTTCATTGAGATCCGTCCAGCCGTTTAGGCTACAAACACTAACAAACATCCATACATCTAAACTTTCGCATTTATAATATTAGTATGAGGTAATATTATTTAAGAATTTACGACTCAAACATAGTAAAAAAATATTTAAACGACTGTAGTAAACGAGTTGCTATCAGAATTCCCCAAAATAGTTATACAATACATACAAAAATACAAATCTTCCCTCTTTATAACCTGAGTATAGATTTAAAAAAAGCGGTCACAAAAATTGAAATATGATCGATTTTTTCAATAACGAAAGCAACGAAGATCCAATAACTTTTTTGTTTATTTGCTACATACAAAAATACAAATGTTTCCTCTTTATATTATTATATGTATCCTTGCGGCTGTTGCTTACTACTTCGACTGCGTGAAATTAAAAATATAGTAAAATACGTAGCCTGTTACTCCTGGCCATCTATAGCCCAGTAGCTTTTGAATTATTTCAACAGATACAAAATAATAAACAAAATCTTTCCTCTTTATTATATTAGTACTAGCTTTCTCCCGCGTCTCCTTCCGCGTGGAGTTAAAAAAAATAGCCTGTGTTCTTCCAGACTCTACACATCTCTAGACATCTATACATTTCATTGAAATCCGTTCAACAATTTAGGCTACAAACATCCATCCATCTAAACTTTCACATTTATAATATTAGTAAGATAGATATATATCTGGTATCCAGGATGGGTCTCACCTGCAAATTGTGCCTACCCATCCTCCAGTTGTCTTCAATAGATTGTATATCTTGTATAATCTTGGGGTACAGCTGTCGGTAGAAGCTGTGCGAGGGATGCTGACATCCGGGCTTCGGTTTGAATAAGTATAAAATCCTGTAAGAAAAAGTTATTTATCAGCTAGTTTTTGCACACGTTAGTCCCCGTGGAATAATGACAAACATTGGGTAGGCAGTGCTGCAATTGCGGATGTCTATGTGCAGCGGTCGCTTTACATTTCGGAGGATTCAGGTCGCTTGCGAGTTTGCCAACTTGCGTTATAAAAAAACATTAGGTAACATATATGTTCTTCCAAACTATCCTCTACATCTATACCAAACTAGCTGTTGCTTGCGACTTCGTCCGTATGGTATTAGAAAACATACGAACTATGTAAACGACAAAAAACTAAGTATCCCTCGGGAACCGAACATTTCTCTGGGATGAAGCCAAATTACAATAAGATATATTGAACCATTGCAGAATGATCGAGTAAACATTAAAAAACTAAATTAATGCATCCCAAGGAAACTGTAACTATTTCCGGGATAAAAAGTAGCCTATGTGTTCTTCCAGACTATGCTCCAAACTTGTGCCAAATTTCATTAAGATCCTTTCAGCCGTTTAGGCTACAAACTCTAACAAACATCCATCTAAACTTTGACAATTGAATTAAGAGATTTGAGAGTAATTGCTCACCATCCTCTTCTTTCAGCGAGCCCCCTCCATAAAGAATCAGTCCTGACTTTCCGTTCCACCAGCTTCTTCCACAGCATACCCTCGCTGATGACGCGCTGCCACTCTCTGCAGACCAGCTCGGCCGCGCACAGAGAGTTCGCGTCTAAATATGATAGGATATTCTCCGCTACATGGTCTAGACCTTTCTCTGAAATATTAAAAATTGCTTTTTTAGGAGAATATATTTTAGTTATAGATACAGAATATTAGTTTTCACCCGTAATTCTCTCAGATGGAATTAAAAAGTAAGTAGCCTATGTGTTCTTCCAGACTGTCTACATCTATGACAAATTCAATTGGGATACTTCTAGCAGTTTGACTACAAACTCTAAGATTTGTAGTAACAAATCCATACAACTAAATATGTTTGTAATCATCACATCATCACCAGCTCACTATACGTCCCCACCGAGGGGCTCAGAGCCTACCCTAAGTAAGGGGTGACTAGGCCATAGTCAACCACACTGCACTGCGGGTTGACTTCACACATATCTTTGATTTCTTCACCGATATGTGCATCACGATGTTTTCCTTCACCGTAAGAACGTCGGGTAAATTATATACATATGAAAATTCGAAAAATTGAAAGTCACATTGGTAGGGCGGGATTCGAACCCAACACCTGTAGATTACAAGTCAAGTGTTCAAACCACTGAGCCACCGACGCTTGTAATGTCAAAGGAAAAATTCCAGATTTCGAGAAAATCATATTAAAAAAAATGTGTGTGTCTGTCTGTCCGCTAGTCGCGTTTATTTCGGCTAATCTCCGATAGCTGGGCCGATTTCGACCGGACTTTCACTGGAGGGTAGCTGACATAGACAGGCATATTATAGGCTTTGTTTTTAATTCTGCCCTATCAAATTTGTGTAACGGGTGGTCCAAATTTGCGTTAACGAAGTTTAAGGAACAGCTCGTTACAAGAATAGAACTAGTATTATATCTAGTACTCACTGGGCAGCATACTGATGAAGTCCCGCTGCAACATCGGCTTGAGGTATGCATTGATGTGTCCATGCTGGTAGTGACACATTCGCGCCAAAAGTTGCTCTACAAACTCCACCTGAAACAGGTATATTCAACATAATTTTCTCCTCTACTGTATAACCAGAGATATTCAAATACATAGAGGAGGCTTTGACACTTTTTTTTTTTTATAAAATAAGATGGCAAACGAGCATGCGACCACCTGAATCCACCGAAATGGAAAGCGACCTCTGCACATAAACATCCACAATTGTAGATGCGTTGCCTACCTTTCATTGACAGAGGAAGAGACATGGAGAGGACATTTCCCCTTCCCATGCATCTCCTCCACCGTCAAATCCACTTTTCTTTCCCATCCTTTCCTCTGGAGAAAAGGGTGGAAAGGGAAAGGACTAAATTTAGGCCTCCGGCACCACACTTATCAGACGAAACGCGGAATTGCTTCCACTTCACGCCTCTCTTCTGTGTGGTCGTGGTGTTACACTGGGCGAGCCGGCCCATTCGTGCGAAGATGTTAAAGCGGGCACTACCACTGTTACACTTCACTAGTCATTTTTCACATAACTAACGCTATCTATTCTTTCAAAACATGTCAATATAATTAATTGTTAAAATTGTCAACATGTGATACTATTTAGTTTATTGTATAACAAAAGATGTAACTTGTTATTTTGTAAAATGTTTTATTACATATCAATACACAAGGTAGTAGTAAAATTGGCAAATGATATAGTACCTTTCAGAGACATTGCCAGAGAAAAAAATTTTGTTCACTGTCTTATCTATATTTTATGAACAGCCATGTATATAACATGCTCTCTTATTTTTGGGATGGTTTTCCATAAGGAATAAAAACCCTTATAATGAATAAATGAATTCTTTACATCCCCACTGAGGGTCTCAGAGCCAAGTTAGTGACAAGACCAGTCTGAGCTGGCAAAATACGGAGTGACATCTTTGAATATCTTATACTATAAAAGAAAAACTTAGTAACAAATTAGTATAAAGGTATTCCGAAAATAATAAGTAATAACGCCATCTATAGTCCACTGAGAAAACTCTGATCATTTAAGCAAAAATCATTAGATACTTAATTAGAATCATAAATAGATCTAATACCAGTACAAAGAACTTATTAATGTTTAATTTACCTGGTCCGTTTCGTTCCATCTTGAAAATAAATTCAAACATGTGTTCCTCTCTGCGACGTACGCAGCCCCGCTGGGCGCGGGCCGCACTCCTGTGTCTAATGATGTCAGAGAAGTCACCTGGAAGACATAATTCACAAATATTAACAACCTAATATATACTTTAGTAATTAAAAATTATATTACCTTACAATCACACTAATATATCATACTAATATTACAAAGGCGAAAGTTTAGATAGATGGATGGATAGATGGATGTTTAATAGAGTTTGCAGCCTAAATGGCTGAACGGATCTCAATGAAATTTGGCATAGACATAGAACATAGTCTGGAAGAACACATAGGCTACTCACTTTTGTTTTCTTTTAATTCCACGCGGACGAAGTCGCCGGCGAAAGCTAGTCATACTAATAAATGCGAAAGTTTAGATGGATGGATGTTTGTTAGAGTTTGTAGCCTAAACAGCACAACTGATTTCGAAAAAATTTGGTATAGATGTAGAGGATAGTCTGAAATAACACTTAGGCTACACTTTTGATTTTTTTTAAATCCACGCGGACGGAGTCGCAGGCGAAAACTAATTATTATTATAGGTTTATGCTTTAGTTAGTTTTAAAAATTACGATTTCATCCACTTGATATTAAAAATGGTAAAAAATATAGCTTATGATACTCAGTCATAACATAGCTTTTTAATAGTGAAAAAAAATTGTAATCAGCCCAGTAATTTTTGAGTTACTTCAATACATACAAAAATACAAATCTTTCCTCTTTATAATATTAGTATAGACTATAGATATGTGTAGTCTAAACAAGACATATTATTACAATAATTTATAATAATAAGCAGTACTAATATGCAAAGTGTATCTTTTTGTTATGCTTACTAAACCATACATAACTACATACAAAATGGACTTAATTGCATTGATATAAATATTTGAAAACTATTGCATAATGAAACAAAACTAATTTAGTAGTCTATGTTATATTCCAGCCAGTAATCTTACTAATATTATAAACTAGCTTTCGCCCGGAACTCCGTCTGCGTGGAATCAAAAAGTTAGTAGCCTTTGTGGTCTTCAAGAATATCCTCACTATTAATACCAAATGTTATAAAAATCCGTTCAGCCGTTACGCTACAAACTCTAATATCCATCCATCGACAAATTTTCACATTTATATTAGTATGATGCGAAAGTTTAGATGGATGTTTGTTAGTTTGTAGCCTAGTTTAAACTAAATTTGACACAGATCTAGATAAATACTTTGGTAGAACACATAGGCTACTTATTAAATTTATTTTTTATTTCGTGCATATGTAGTCAGATGTGAAAGCTTATCTATCTACATTCCAAATAAATTCAGATAAATTCCAATTCTGTTACTATTGTTAGCTTTTTAACTATTTTGATGTATTCTGTATTCTTGAAGGTTATTTAGTCTGTGCTATAAATCAATAAATTTTTATTATAATTTGAAATAACAATATAAGCTTTGTAATTGTGATCCAAAACATTATTAAAATATTTATGTCATGGTTTTAAAATGTTGTAATTCTGCTTGTTATGTTTATAATCGGATAGGAGTCGGTTGTCAAAAATAAGGGTGTTGCATTAGCTCAACGATACAATGGCCATATTGGTAAGGTTATTCTGTGCAAATTTGAAGAAAACATGGGAGGTAATGAAGACTATATTTTATTAAAGCATAACATGGCTGTGACGCCCATTCTATATAGTAACAAACATCCATACAAACTGCATGCATTACAATATTAGCATGTGATTTCCAACAAGTTGAGGATAATCGCAATATATTTAAATATTCTCATTCAAACAGGAATTTGACATTGTTAATGCATTTACTTGAGGAAAATGTTATATTTTTGTGAACATGCTTCTAAAAGTACTTTTTTAACCTTTTTTTATTCAACTAGCTGAACAACTTTGTGTGCTTGGAGTTTAAAAATTCAAAATGAACTTTATCTTCTTACTTTAAGCGTAAACCACATAGTAATTTATTTATTTAAGCACAAAAAATATGTTTAATTAAATTCCAGAATTCTCTAAATTTATCAGTATTTCCCTACTATATACACCAGCTGTTGCTAGTGGGTTAACCAGCATAAAATTAAAAACATCATAAATAATGTAGCCTATGCTACTCACATATAAAGTGGATTTTTAACGGTGAAAGAACTTTAGAAAATAGCCCCGTAGTTTTTAAGTTATTGAAATACATACAAAAATACGAATTATTCGTCTTTTTAATATAAGTACAGAAAAAATATGATACAATCCCCAGTTTACTAGAACCTTAGTTCATAAATATACTTTAACACAATGGCCTCTGTACTCTAACTCAGAGGGGTAGACAGAGAACATGGTTTCCTATATAAAGGAGTTTTGGAACACAATTTAATACAATTCCATACATTTAGAATTTAATTAGAATAAGTCATATAAGAATCAATGGTGAAAATAATAAAATGACCTTTATTCTATAACTTCTTGAACATATAAGGTTCTATAACAATATACATTATATATCTTATAATATCTTACATTATGTGTTACACGGAAGAGTGGGACTTCCTAACACAAGTGCCTATTGGTTACTTAAAAGTCCCTACAACTGATTGATTTGTAACTTACTTGATTTAATATTAAAAATTATTCCTTTTTTATACATTATACTTTAGATGTATTAATTAATCTTGTTAAATTGCATATCTTTATATAATCAACAAACATCAGAGTTGTTTCATATAATTATTGTATTGTGTCTCTGAACACGAGTATTGAAAATTACGAAATAACTACGAAAGTGGCACACTACTGTATTTCTTGTTACGTACATAATGTACAGTTATTTTACAGTTAACGAAGTAGAAAGGAAGTATTTAAGGATGTCACGCCATGTTTACAGTGTTATATGACCCGTTTTTTACAATATTTTCGAGGTTCAAAACTATTTGTATTCAGATTTTATGGTTACCATGACGAAAAGTTCAATAATATTCAATGAGAGGCATTTAGAAGGATAATGATGTGTTTTTATTGATTTAATATTAATGGAAAGTACATTTTTATGTTCGAAAAATAGCATATGTAAACTTTTCAACTTAAATTAGGTTAAAAATATTCTAAGCTATATCCGCAATGCAGAAATGTTTAGGAACTTTGCTATTCATTTTTATTAATATATGAATAACTATCTAATGAATCAGTGGATATGAAATCATACATTTTAAGGATAAATTTTATCCTTTCTCCGAAATTATTATTTCAACTCGAAGGGTGTTGAAAGACAAAGATGGCGGATATTCCATGACATTACTATATTGCTCCAATTAAATATATAGAACAATACCTTCGGTGTCGGTGGATCTTCGACATTCCAATCAGTCTCCATTTTCGCTATTTCACTAAACACATTAATTATCTTACACAAATGTCACCACGAAAACGGCACCACTTTGCTAAAATAAATTCATCGTTCTCATGACGTCAAGCACTATTATTTTCTTTCAAAAAGCTGAGAAACTATTGGCAATGGATACGCGTCCTTTTACCAACCTTTTACCAAATAACAGATAATGTTAAATCGTTCGGATATTCACATTAGAAAGTGTGACAAGACTAACTTTGAAACGATTTTAAACTTCTTTCAAAAGGATGCTGGATTTTTTTTTATTTATTCAAAAGTTAAATAATAGTCCTTACAATTTTCTTCATTTAGAACTTTAAAAACTTTAGATATTTTGAGAAAAAACGTCTCATCATTAAGAAAGGTCAAATTATCCCATCAGTATAGTCAATACTGCATGGCAACATTGATTTCTTATTTGACAAGTCAAATTGACAATTGCCCTCTCACTTCCTCATCTCTTGATATTCTAATTCTTTGATGAAATTCATTATTTCATGCCTATTAATATTTTAATTATTTCTAGCAATTCAAAAGTCAAAACTGTGTCTTTACAAAATGTGCCATTATAAAGAAAAATTAACGACAGTAAAGATATATCTTAATATATGTTACTACATTAATTAGTGTTTGTTTTTCATGTTTTGTAGAGGATTTTTATCAAAAACAAACAATCGATTTTAGTGCTAATGATTTATTGGATTTTACTAAGGTGAGGTATAACCGTAGTTTGTACAAATTAAAAATATGTAATTTAGACCGTATATAATTGTGTTAGGTAAAAGGCTTTCGACCGAAACGAATGCCTTGTCTTTATTGTTATAAAAACGTGGGAATTTATTACAATTGCTACATGTTAAAAAACTTAAATTTCTAGCATATTTTTATGGAAGATTCCAAATTACAGTAAACGTGTTCTTTACGTTAAGTTAAATGGCCTTTCTTATTGTATTATTTTGCTAGTTTTCGTCCGCATTAAATTGAAAAAATAAGTAATAAAACCTATATGTTCTTCCAAATGTTCTACATCTATGTCAAATTTCATCACGATCCTTTCAGCAGTTTAGGACAAACTCTAACAAACATCATTTCAAACTTTTGCATTTAAAACTAAGATAAAATAATAATTATTAACATGAGTTATTTATATTTCAGTAATTGTATACAATGTTGGGCGATGATGTCGAGAATCGACATGACCCTCCGGGCGTCAACTCCCGATCACTGAGTGTTGCGCACACGGCTGCTGATTTAGAGGTACCAGCTTATTTAAATAGTAAACAAAACGAGTATTAGAATACATTACAAATGGTATAATGCTCTGATCTCACACTGGCTGTAAATGACTAGCTGTTGCTTATGACTTCATCTGCATGATTTTAAAAATAAAGCTAGTAGCTTTTGCCCGTGACTCCATCCGCGTTGTGTTAAAAAAAACAAGTGTCCTATGTGGTCTTCCAGACTATCCTCTATATCTATGCCAAATTTCATTGAGATCCGTTCAGCCGTTTAGGCTACAAACTCTAACAAACATCCATACATCTAAACTTTCACATTTATAATATTAGTTTGATATTACTCACTGATAATGAAGCTTAAAGTGGTAAAAGAATTTTTGAAATTGGTACAGTAGTTTTTGAGTTTTGAAGTAACTCAAAAACTACTGAACTTATTGTTTCATTAACCATGATTTGTCAGTATTCTTGCTGAGTGCTAGTGTATAATGGATAAGGATTGATGGTTCTGTTTGAAACATAAACTTGCTTTACTTGTCTTTAACCCTTAACTTGGCAGAGTTTTATTTTTTTGAATATCACCAGCTCACTATACGTCCCCACCGAGGGGCTCGGAGCCTACCCTAAGTAAGGGTGACTAGGCCATAGTCAACCACGCTGGCCAAGTGCGGGTTGGTTGGCTTCACACATATCTTTGAATTTCTTCGCCGATATGTGCAGGTTGCATCACGATGTTTTTCTTCACCGTAAGAACGTCGTCGTAAATTATGTACATATGGAAATTCGAAAAATCGAAAATCACATTGGTACATGGCGGGATTCGAACCCAAGACCTGCAGATTACAAGTCAAGTGTTCAAACCACTGAGCCACCGACGCTCTTGAATATCAAAATAATATTCATAGCACTTAACCTTGATGACCCAAAGTGTTTAAAAAAAAATTTGATGTATCTCTACAGATACACTAATAAGAAAAGGGTTAACAATTGCTCTTGCATGAAAAGTAATTTTAACCTCATCTCAATTGAATAAAGTTCAATTTTATAATACAAAGTAGCTGTTCCCATGCAGCTTCATCCACATGAAAGTATAAAGACTTTATTTCATTGTTTACATTTGTTAAATTCTCAATTGCAAAAATCACAATTACTGTTACCATAATGACCTTGCTTCCTTAATGTTGGCAGCTTGTAGTTTATGGTCAGTTCCCACATAAAGGTTTTTTTTTTTAATTTATGTACCACCTAAGTTTAATAGCGGGATAATATATAGACTAAAATATGTCGCAAGTGTAGGGTTTTTTTAAAGGAAGTATTACTAAAAAGTATACTGTGATTGCTGAGATCCTATACCACGAAGTAGTGTGTTTATACTTTATTATATACTAATAAGATATACAATTTATTTCAGGTGCTCCGAGAAATAGAGAATGTATACTTCTCACCACCGTCAGAGTTTGACGCAGCGCGGTATGTGCTATCACATGCACCATCACCACCTACCTGTGAGGCTGTTGAGGTTATGTTCACAAAGTTGAAGCGGCAACAACAGGTTAGTGCATCCTGCTCGAAGGACCAATTGTTAATAGTCCTTTGATATCAGACTTCTACATAGTCCAACATTACAAAGCAAGTAATTGAATTGTCAAGCTATAAAATTTACTCTTGAAGAGATTTTAGTAATAAATATTTTGCTTGAAGAGTAGATGTCAAATTTTAGTCCTCTTTCCCTCCCAAATATTATAAGTATTGGAAGGAGTGGCTTAGTCGAGAGATGGGATTCATAGTTTGGTAAAATATCCTCTTGCTGTGTCCCTTCCACTGTTAATAAGAATTAGTTGTCATAAGAGATTTTAAAACATACTTTCTTAGTAAAAAAAATAGATAACACATGGCCTTTTTAACGATGCATGAATTTTTGAAAGTCCAGCAGTTTTTGAGTTATTTTAATGAATACAAAAAATATTTCCCTATTTTTAATATTAATATACTTGAGTCCATACAAAGTTTCACATTTATAATATTAGTATGACTGTTTACGTTTACAGGTTGTGTCAGGTAAAGCACTACATTTGATATCCCAACAGAGAGATAACTGCGACAGGGAGTTTGCAGAGATACAAAACATTCGGCAACAGCTCGCTATAACATTAAAAACGTGTAAAGAAGCGAGACAGCATTTATCAAATGCATCCAATCATCTCACAATATCCACATTAGTTATATTAGCGAATGTAAGAAAGAGACAGATAATCAAAAAAGTATTAAAATCATTAGAATTATTACAAAGCTTAAGAAGTGTTGAAAAAGATGTCGCTGAAC